TAACGCTTCTATTTTGCTTTAGACCTGAGGTTTTGCAAGGAGACGAACTAATGCAGCATATATTTTTTTTACAGTATGTACATTTTTTACAGAATTTTAATTTGTGATTCGTCGCAGTAAATCCAACGAGCTTTAACCACCGTAAAATGATTTTGAGATGAATTCTTCACCAATCGGTGAAACTCAGCGATTAATTTGGGTCGGCCGCGACGCGGCGTGATGACGTCAGCGCGCCATTGCGTTGGTTTCAACGCGTGCTTCTCTGCAGAAGTAGGTGTTTGTGTTTTTCGCTGTCCTGCTTTTCCATTTCCGTTTGTGTTAGGCCTACTCTTTTAAATCACGAGTAAAGGTTGCTGTCTCTCTCTGCCTTCAGTCTGTTTATCTGTACGTGGTGTTTGTGTATATGAGATTTCAGTGAGTTCTGTTTGCTTTTGAAATGTCTTAGTTGTCTACATACACTTATCATGGCATATACATGATTTAAACTCCTGTATGTTGTCACAGGTCCATCATGGAGGCTCTGACCCAGGCTCTCTCCTCCAGCTTCTCTGTATCCAGAGAACCAAACAGCACTTCTGCTCCCCATCCACGCCTGGCCCAGTACAAGAGCAAATACAGCGTTCTGGAGCAGAGTGAACGGCGCAGGAGGTTCCTGGAGCTGCAGAAAGAGTGAGTTTACCTTACACAACCACCCAGAACACGAGCAGCTGTTATCAGCCACCTTCATCACGTGTTTGCTGTCTCTCTCTGCCTTCAGTCTGTTTATCTGTACGTGGTGTTTGTATCGTGTTTGTGTATATGAGATTTCAGTGAGTTCTGTTTGCTTTTGAAATGTCTTAGTTGTCTACATACACTTATCATGGCATATACATGATTTAAACTCCTGTATGTTGTCACAGGTCCATCATGGAGGCTCTGACCCAGGCTCTCTCCTCCAGCTTCTCTGTATCCAGAGAACCAAACAGCACTTCTGCTCCCCATCCACGCCTGGCCCAGTACAAGAGCAAATACAGCGTTCTGGAGCAGAGTGAACGGCGCAGGAGGTTCCTGGAGCTGCAGAAAGAGTGAGTTTACCTTACACAACCACCCAGAACACGAGCAGCTGTTATCAGCCACCTTCAACACCCTCAACTTTGATGCAGTGACACTGATAGAATACATTATGTTGGCAGGAAGAGGCTAAACTACGTGAATCATGCCCGACGGCTGGCTGATGGAGACTGGACCGGAGCTGACAGCGAGGATGAGGAGGATGAAGAGAAGAAGAGACCGCCGCAGCTGGAGAACAGCACTGATGAAGAAGGGATGGAGATCGAGCAGAAGAAAAAGCTACCGAAGCATTATGCCAACCAGGTGCTTAAAGACACATAGACAGATATAGTTGTTTAAAAAAAGATTTTTAAAGTTACAGTAGCTAAAAAAATGCCTTTTAACAAATTCTGAGTGCTTCTTACATAATAATATGTGACCCTGGACCACAAAACCAGTCATAAGGGTCAATTTTTCAAAATTGAGATTTATACATCATCTGAAACCTTGGTTTGTTAGGATAGGAGGACAATATTTGGCCGAGATACAACTATTTGAAAATCTGGAATCTGACGGTGCAGAAAAATCTAAATATTGAGAAAATCGCCTTTAAAGTTGTCCAAATGAAGTTCTTAGCAATGCACATTACTAATCAAAAATAAGTTTTAATACATTTACAGTAGGAAACTTACAAAATATCTTCATGGAACATGATCTTTACTTAATATCCTAATGAGATATATATATACATACATACAGTGCACAGCATAAATGAGTACACCCCCTCTGAATAAATATAAAATATGTATTTTCTTAATGATCACTAATATAATTCATGGAAAAATGGCAAAATTTAAACATAGTAAACCTATACTTAATAAAAACAACAAAATATATGCCAATATTTTCTGTAAGATAAGTCAATTAGCCAATTTTGTTTAAATGAAGGATTGCAGAAATGAGTACACCCTAGATTTAATTCAGAAAATGTATAATATTCTAGTACTTATGTCCTCCAGAACTCTAAGTACACTGCTCTGACACTTCTTGGCACTGAGTGTACAAGTTCATGACAAATGTTCACATCTGTGCTGTTTAACTCCTGGACGACCTCCTTAAATGCTCTGATCTTTAATGGGGAGTGTTGCTTAGCTCATCTCTACAGAATCTCACAGCAGCTCAAGAGTGTTAAGATTGAGTGAAATACCTGTCCACTGAAGGATTTTCATCTTGAGAGAATGAATATATTCATTGTCATGCTGAAAAAATGCCCAATAAACATTAGGTAATTCTAGTGGTGACAACAACCATGCATGTCACTTCTGATGGCTGCGTCATACTCTGTGAGATAAAGTGTCACTCTTTTCATAGCTTTTGCCGGCTCTGAGACACTTGCGTGTTATTTCTCCTGCTCTTTTTCTAGCAAAAATTCACTCATCACTAAATGGAAAACTTAAAGTGAAGACCTGATTATTTCAGGAGCCTTATCGCAAGTCCATTGTTTTTGAATGTTGGTGCTACTTCTGCTATATTTTCACACTTAAAACAATAATTGGTATTCCTCTTGTACCATTGTCCTCTTTTATGCTAAGAAACAAGTCACCTAGCAGTTCTCTCTCAAATGGTTCCACTGCTGCCAGAATTAAGTCCGAGTATGATTCAGTGGGCCATAGAACACTTTTAATTGTCAGGAAATTACTTGTCTTTAAAAGTTTTGGTTCAATATACTTACCTGTTGATCAAAAATAGCCATAAACCTATACACTTTTTTTTTTTAGTTAGTAACTTTCAGGAGGGTGTACTCATTTTTGCAACATAAAATTGTACCACTTTGATAAGAAAATCCTATTTTGCTGAATAATTTTGGCATTCTTCTTTGGTAATTGATCAAGCAGGCTTGTTGGAACATTACATCTCCAAAGAACCCTAACATGTCTTCTAAGTAAAGGGTAATTGCTGAATTTGTTACGTTTTAGAGGGGGTGTACTCATTTATGCTGTGCACTATACATCACAACACGAAAGAAAAGATCTGAAGCTACTTTTGTTTCAATGAGACTTTAAAGAAAAACAAATGGATTCAAGTGACAGAAACGGAAACAAAATTTCCATTCAATTTGCATTGCAATTAATATATATATATATATATATATATATATTAAAGGTACAGTATTAAAATCAGCAGGGGTATTGCTAAGGGTTAAAGAAAATGGGTGGAAAATGCTTATTTAAAGCAGAAATATGACCATTAGAATCAGAATCAGAATGAGCTTTATTGCCAGGTATGTTTACACATACGAGGAATTTGTTTTCGTGACAGAAGCTTCCACAGTGTAACAGAATGACAATGACAGAACAAAAAACACAGATAATTAAAAAATAAATAAAATAAATAGAACAAGTAAATAAGGAATAAAAATATATAAATTGACAATTGTATGTGCAGGTATACTACAATAGACAGTTTTGTATGTACAGGTATATTATGTGCAAATTTGAAGTGTAGACTAAGTATGTGTGTTAGATAAATAAGTGTATG